AAGATACAGTGATAGTATGGGCTGACCAGGGTAATATAATCATCAAGGTGTTAGTATGGGACTGACGCGCGTATTAGAATCATGAGAAGATTGATGTGAGATTACAACTGGATAGCACATGAGTGTGTACTTGTGTTGGCATTCTGATTATATGCATTATGCCTCATCACGAAACTTGAGCACAACAGACTAATGTTAACATGATGAGTGATGCGAAAATCATTCGACATTCGCATCACTACCTGCAGAGTGCGTTCATTCCCGCATAAATAGCCCAGTAGAAGCCTACACGGTACAGAACTGATGCCAGAGTGTTCTACGGTAGTTGGTCTGATATCATCCAGTAGAAATCACTTGCAACATTGACCCTAATTCGCTGTATAGAATGGCTCACCATCCTAGTACAGTTGGCAGCATCAGTGCATCTCATAAAGCTCCTGTGTTTGCTTACAGTTGAAGGCGCTTGGGATTGTGGAACTCAAAGCCCGGCAAGATGCACTCAGTTGAGAGGAGCAAGCCGAGCTGAGTGAGCTGCACGACAAGTACAACGCTAAACGGTTACCGATAGAACAAGCTATGGACAGGAAGAATGGCGGGGGGTTATAGTAGACAGCAATCCAAGTGCAATGCTACATGTGATTTCAAGGACACTCCAAATATACACACGATTGCCCATCATACATTGGTGTGCTCGATGACAGTTTATTCCCTACTTCACATCTGGGGGCTATCCGGAGTACAAACCAGTCTGAATGGATTTTCTATGTAAAAGAAAGTTTGTGATCTTTCACAAGGCAGAATGATTCATCGTGTTGGTAAGTGGCTCGCGATTGGTGTTGCCATAGCGACCGAAGTGCCGATAGTACCGAAATCAAGATCGGGATGCTGGAAGCACGCTGATAGATAGATGGCTTGAGACTTGAGAGTTGCGTTCATGTGGACACAGCCAGCCCCGACCGGGGTTACAATAGCGAGCTTTCAGAGCCCGATTTAAAAACAAAATGAGCTTTGGACTACTAATTATAGATGTACCACGAGAACTCTCTACATAAACATATCCGTTCTGCGTTTATCGCTATTTGCGGCGCAAAGAATCGGGTCTGCAGTATTGACCTTCAGCGATCCGGAAACTTCTGGGAAGTGACATTGTTTATATTAATAGGTAGAAGGGTTAAGCATCTACATCAACGCCTCGAGCTCGGATAAACTGCCGAGGCAAGAGCATTCACTGTGCTTATGTTAATAATAATTACGTACATTCAACCGTTTTATGCAAACATTTAGCTTTTCACCATGGCAAACAATACGTCAATACCCATCAATACCATGTGTCATACTACGGAATACACTCTGAGCAGGCCCGTATTTTGAAAACCCCTATCTTCTCGACCACGGAACTGATGCCCGATCCCTCCGTGACAGGTACAACCGTCTCGTGCACAACCCCAAGAGCTTGTACTTCATCCCTTGAACCATTTGCGTATATGCGGTGATGCCGCACTCCTACACAGTATCTAAGTGGATTCAAATAGAAAGCAAGGCTTACTGATAGGACAGTATCTTGGTGGATTGAGATAGAAAGTAAAACAAACTGATAGGATTTACCATCTTAGTTGATGAGATAAAAAGCAACGTATACTGATACACAGTATCTTGGTGGATTCGAATAGAGAGTAAGGCATACTGATAGGACTTATTTACAGTAGAACATGCCAATCTCAGCATCTTAGTAGATTCAGATAAATCGCAAGATATACTGATACGACCTATTTACGATACAGCATGTCAATCTCGGCATCTTATTTCGAATTAATTTCACTGAGCAGGTTCCGGCCTGTGAGAGTTTGAACAATTGTTTTAGACGCACAGTCCAGAAGGCCAAGGGTGAATCCTACAATCAAAGAATGATACAAACACCTTAATCCTATAAAGTATAAACAGTTTGTCACAAACATAAATTGTGACCTGTGAGTGCTATGGGCTGTTGTGGAGTGTGGTCTGCGAAACAGTCTAGCCGGAGACGTTGAAGAATTCAGAATTGACAATTGCCTTGCGGCGTGCTTTACGTTACCTACTTACCTTGCAATTATTTTGGCAACTGAAAAGTCAACATTCTTGACTTCTTGTGACATTCCTCAATCTGTCTCAAACAGCCAAAATGATTCAATTGGAGATCGGGAGCTTTGATATCAGTGATTAGTTTTTTCAATCGGTGTGTATATATATCATTAGCTCAAAATCTGCAGTACGAGTACGACCTTTTATTCATCTGAATCGTAAATGTTTTGCTATAGAAGAAATTCTGAAGAATGCTGCCAAGTTGCCGTTTCTCAACGACGATTGGGTCATGTTTTTGTGTAAGCTGTAGATACTAGGTTGCACCAAGACATTTTAGAAAAAGTTGTTATCAAAGTGTTCAATTTAGAAGGCTATGCTCAAAGGCACTGAAAAAGTATAAATATTCGTAGGTGGTGCATTCTCTAATTATCAAAACAACATCAAGCTATCTCAGAAGTCCCAACTTAACTCCTATACATCATGCTTATGACAATTATTAGCAGTGTTGTGCTCGTCGGACAAATTTTTACCCTCGCAAACGCCAGCGCACTCCCATCACAGAGGCGGAGCGTGTTTGGTGATGTCGAGGGGGCGATTGAGGGCGAGAATGGATTCGACTGCGCGTCTGGAGTGATGGCGGGGATCACAGCACTGACTGAGAGTGACTCTTACAAATCCTTGACTGGCGACAGTTACTGCGATAGTGCTGTATATGGGATAGTGGTGGCAGGCATGGAGATGGCGGCCGAATCGGACGGCAGCGCACTCGAATCTGGTGAGTGTGCCACAACCATGGGTATATGTTGTGCGGCAAAGGCAGGCGATGGCGTGTTAACCACTCAGATCTGTGAAATGCTACTCAGCACTTAGAGCCAGGGCCTACTGGAATGAATGGTTAAGACTTCAACTGCAACGGGTCATGACTTGGAACACCGCAAGTCCACAATACATTCGGGCCAAGTAATACAATAAAGTTTCTGTTTCAACTGCATAAGCTTCAGTTCTGTTTTTTTCCGTTTTGTATATACCGCGATAGCGTGTTAACCGCTCAGATCTGCGAAATGCTATTTAGCACTTAGAGCCACGGATTACTGAAATGGTCTTCTGGGTATATATGAAACTTTGACTGCACCATGCGTTACCAGCAATGAACCTACTGTGAATCCAATATAATATTTCAATTCGAATCCCGATTCGTGCAATCTGTCTTATTATGACTATGCAAATGCAGTAAATTGAAGTACTGTATTCAACGCCTCCATTTACTAACCGCCAAAACATCTTCGTACTACTACTTCCTATTTTAATATGCTAATTAAACCTCTCAACTACACCTGACTCCGTATGTTTGTTGTATCGTTTGAATCGTATCGTCGAATCCACTGCTAGCCCGTTCCCCTCCAAACGGCAGGTGTGCACGTGCGTCACTTCAGGATGAGAGATATCGGACGTGATGCGGAGCGCGTGTCACATACAAGAAGCTTGGACACATCGACAGGTAGACGTTGGATTCTGAAAGTATGGATAGGCTAATGAGCGTAATGCGTTCACGGACAACCCTCTGTATAACCCTATTTATCCCTTGACCCTACTAAGTCCTTGTCTACACTTACCGAGCATTGTATCCACCCTCTACTGTGCTGTGTCAGCTGCACTAGAACACACCGCATTACGTCTGATACTCGTTACAGCAAGCCGTACCCACGTACATCAGATATTCCCTTGGCATAGTGTACTACATAGGTCAAGACAAGTTGCCCTGCTGAGAAGTGTCGATCAAATCTTCTACGCATATGTGCCGATTTCCGGGATTTCCACCACGATTATTTCGTAGTCCCGGCCGTCCTATCTCTAAACTCACTCCATGCGCACAATCCATGTATCTCTGCGTCCATCCATACAACCAGTCCATAAGCCGTACGTGCGTTCTGAAGGTATCATCCATGACTTGCTGACCCCAATAACACTATACACGCGCTATCCTTCGCAGCCCGATCTTTAGTCTTACACCATCCGACATCGCGAGGATATAGATAGTAGCTCACTATCTTTAGTCACAACGATTCCCGATGTGATTCCACACAGTATACAGTACACACCGTTGGTCTCAGCAGAGACAATGAATTATACTATCTCCGGATTGCCTGGCCTTAGGCAACGGATATGACCATTCATTCGATAACATACACACGCACGTGCCACGCTCAGCTCAAGGCTGAAGACTGCACCATCAATCGGAAGAAGCATACCAAGCACGCTTCTTGGGAGTGCCACTCTATTCCGCCGCGGCGTCCTTCTCCTTTTCAAACCTACATGTTGCAAAAAGTATAAATAAAAGGGAATGTCAACAACCTGCTAAAGCCGAATATGTGAAAGACAGTCTGCGCCTAGTATTTTCGAGCCTGTCATAGTTTAAAACAGACACTACGCGCTCGCATCTCAAGGACATATACGTTCACCGGAGATAACTACCTGTTGACCTCAGTCCAGAACTTGAGCCGCATACAAAAATTCTTCTGTCGGAAGATAAAAGATGCACGTGAATGCATACTATTAATGTGCATACGTGTTTACACGTAGCCGTGTAACGGATTGCAGGACATCTCTCGCTCGATTAACATACAAGAAGTTGTTCGCGCAGTCCACAAAGGCGGTCACCTCCATCTCACACACATCTGGCTCAGAGTTGTTCTTTTCCACACATTCGCGGTATGCCTGTCCAGACAAATGACATACAGGACATACAATGCGATAGAGGGAAGGAATGAGCTTAAGATTTACTTTGACGTGCACGGCCAACGTCAACAATTGGTTTAAGGACAAGGGATAAACATCGGCTGTTCCGTGAATAGGTCTGATATCTGGCACAACCGATTGGAATGTATGAACGTGGCCGAGCACATACGATTTGAGCTTCTTACATGTTAATCTGCTCCACTATGTCACCATCAAAATTAGCCCAAACAAACTAAATGCATTTTCATCTATGACAAGCTAGTATGCATACTAATATTATACCTATACACACATACATATACATATATATATATATACATATATACATATAGATACAGATATTTATATATATATATACATATATACATATAGATACAGATATATATATATATATATATAAGTATGTATGTATGTATGTATGTCTATATGTATATGTATGTATATTATAGTAATAATATATATATATATAGTATATATTATATATATATATATATATATATAAATATATATATATACAAGCATATATATATAGATGGAAATGTGTAAAACCCACACACACAAACACACACACATATATATATATAAATAGATATATGCATGTGCATGTGCATGTGTTTGTGCATGTGTATGTGAATGTGAATATGTATGTTTATGTATTGTATATGCATATGTGGTGTATGTACATGTATATGTATAAACCCTAGGGCCCACCACTCACCGCAAGCGACTTCTCACAGGCAGTTCTCACTTGAAACACAGCACCATCACTGCAAAAAAAGGGGGAGAGAGATTGGAATAAGTATTCAGAAGGCTAATTAAGAAAAAAAGAAGAGATAGATTGGAATAAGTAATCAGAAGGCTAATTAAGAAAAAAAAAGAAGAGAGAGATTGGCATAAGTAATCAGAAGGCCAATTCTACGCTTGATTCTAGGGCTGGTGGTGGTCTAGAGTGTTGTGACGCAAAGACATCATTCATCGGCGCCATAGCACTTTCTCTCTAACAATGTACTAACCCCTTGTCAGTTTCAGCTGAAGATTACAGTAGCACAATCTGGCAAAACGATGAGTCATGAAAAGCTTCCTGAGTCATGCTAACGTCAAGCTGCTCACAAGACACGGCTGCTACAGCTGGTGTAACACTAGTAAGACACGCATGACGCAATACAGTACAGTCAACTGAACTAGGGCTTCAGAGATAGTGTATCAGATATATTAACATCGTTATACGAGGGCACACACGTCAGACACACACACTCTCCACACATCTAGTTAATAATCCAGACACACACACTCTCCACACATCTAGTTAATAATCCAGACACACACACTCTCCACACATCTTGTCAAAATTTCAGACACACACACTCTTCACACATCTTGTCAAAATTTCAGACACACACACTCTCCACACATCTTGTCAAAAATCCAGATAGAGCTGTATCAGAAGCAACACACAATACAGGGCTCACGTATTACACATTCGCCAGTGGCCACTCGGCAACTCATAACTCTATCGAAACTTGAAGTCGCGTGCATCGCATGCAGACACTCCCAACTCCGTCGGTTGATTTCAAGTCAAGTATCACACACTAACCAGCCTTAAACTCTTACCAATCACATACATATCTACAACACAATAGTAGGTAAATCTATGATAGAATTAAACGTACTATAATACTAGCCGTAAACTCTTACCAATCACATTCATATCTACAACGCAATAGTAGGTAAATCTATGATAGAATCAAACGTACTAAAATACCAGCCTTAAACTCTTACCAATCACATACATATCTACAATGCAATAGTAGGTAAAACTATGATAGAATTAAACGTACTAAAATACCAGCCTTAAACTCTTACCAATCACATACATATCTACAATACAATAGTAGGTAAATCTAATATAGAATCAAACGTACTATAGTACCAGCCTTAAAACTCATCGATCACATACATATCTACAACGCAATAGTAGCTAAATCAATGATAGAATCAAACGCACTAAGAAATCACTCAAACACGACATTATTAAATGAGCCATTGACGTTGCTTCAGTTGTCAAAGCTGGGATATCGCGCACCAGCACGCGAGACACACACAACGTCCTGTTGTGCTTTTTTACAAAATGATATCATCCGCAGAGACGAGTTAATGTACTAGGTATCAATAAGTCTTGTCACAGGGACCTCTCCAAAGGACAGGGGAGAGGGCTATTTCTGCATACAGGTCTTGTATCCTAGGTCTGTATAATTACAAACTATCAACACGAATAGACTACCACCGGATAATAATCGATGCCCACACCTTTTGTCTGTGCAGTTGGAGAGGTTTTCCTCGAGCTTGGCACAATCCTTACTCCAGCTGTTGGGCTGACGATCGAGATAAAATGAACAGTATTTAATGAAGATGGAAAGGGGGACGAGACACACAGGTATGGTCAGGCTGCATACATCACCGATGATATTTTTAAATAACGTAACGACAAGGTTGACAACCGATGTAGCCTACACAACTACATGTCAATACACCTCACTGCATTCGATACGTTAATTAAGACGGTAGGAAGAAAGTGCACGCCACAGCAATCGTGTGCTGCGATAGCCAATAAACAATCACGACAGACTGGCATGATAGGACTAGTGCTCGAGGTAAACCAGAGGTTGCATATTATGTGACTCCACGTGACTCACTATACTTACTAAACATGCTTCGAGGTAAACCAGAGGTTGCATATTGTGTGACTCCAAGTTACTTACTATACTTACATCGAGGTCAACCAGAGGTTGCATATAATGCGACTCCAAGTGACTTACTATACTTACTATACATGCTTTGAGGTAAACCAGAGGTTGCATAGTATGTGAATACAAGTGACATACTATACTTACTATACATAGCCACTTAATATGTATAGTGACTTACTATACATGCTCCACTTCGTGCATGTGCCAGGGTGATGCAGCTCGACACTAGCATGAATCTCACAGCGACGATCCTAAGACATTCGATAGCCTTAAACTGAGATTGACACACGACGAATAAGTGAAAAATTGACATACATTTGACACGACGCAGTCTTCATAAGCCTGCATTTGCTCACCGCATTGTGCCGACAGTCTCTGAAGTAAAGCCTCCCTATAGATGAGCAAAATGAAGGGAAGACGTAATGCGGAAACATATAAGTATATATATATATATATATATATATATATATGTATGTATGCTGCATGATATA